TCAAGGGAAGCTGGCTTGTCTCTACAGCTCTTCATTTGACAGGGTAATACACTTTTGTCCCAGCTGCCAGAAAAGCCAGCAGGTCTGTTAACAGACAGGAGATAATGATCTTGTTGGAAAGTTATCTGTGGAATGCAACAGGAAATGCTGGTGAAAATGCTGACCACCATGCTCCCAGTTGTTCCAGCTGAGATCCCAACCGCCATCTTAGGGTGTGACCCAGGAGAAGGAGGGGATGCTGGCATCATAGGACTCCATGCTCACACCTTCCTTCCTCACAGAGTCCAGGCACTCAGATTTCCATCAGCAGTGTCTTTATTGCACATGATAACCCAACTGCAAGTAGTGGATCTGCTATCTTCTCACATTGCTCTCTCCTCACACTGCTATTGCTGGTGTCACCAGGCAGGCCCTGGAGCTACAAGCTACCTGAGCCTGAATGGAGTGACTGAGGGCCACCTGTAGGGTTTCCAGCATAAGAGAAGTCTGCTGGATCAGGCCAAGGGCCCATTTAGCCCAGCATCTTGTTCTCAAAGTGGACAACCATATACTTGTGGGAAATCTTCAAGCAGGACCTGAGCTCAAGAGCCCTCTCCCTTCCTGTGACTTCCTTTGGTATTCAGAAGCATCACTGCCTCTAGCTGTGGAACCACCATCCCTAGTAGCCACTGATAGATTTATCCTCCAAGATTTTGTCCAATCCTCTTTTAAAACCATTGGCCTGATCTAGCAGTCTCTTCCTGTGTTCATATGTTCTTCCCACTGCTGGCTATCCAGTTTACATTCACATTTTTGCACCACACACACACACACAAACACATCTGTAGCGAGCAGGGCTCCCAACTTGCAAATTAGTAGCAGAGGTTGAGGGTGACATCTCTGCCAATAGTGCTCTGTTGACTATGAGACTAGGCTGGAAACTGAACCCAAGACCTGCAAGATGCAAGTTCAAAGCCCAGTCCACAGGGGTGTGCTGCCTTTTGCTTTTGTTCTGATCTGACAGCCATCATTGGTTTGATGTGTGCCTGATATCTCTTGCCACTTTAAGAAATGCTGAGCCCCTAATCCATTTCAATCCCTCTCTCCTTGCTTCTGAAATAATTCTCTGAAAGAGCTTGGGAGTGGAGGGGGAGGAGGGTGGAGGTCAGGGCTGTGGCTTAAACATTTTTTGTCAAAACACTGTCCCACCAAGTTCAAAACCGACTCCCACCCACAGAAGTTAAGAGACAATTACGATGTGGCAATTTCGGATGACCTAATCCCTGGCCAAGATACCTTTGTTCCCCATCTCCACCTGGAGAGGATAAGGTGAGCAGTTCATTAGTTTGCTGGAGCATGTGCTGAGTATTAAATCTTACTTCAAATAAAGAAGGGAGGGGACAAAAAAAAAAGACAACACACTTCCAGCTGTGTAAAAGGAAGAAAACAAAAACTGAGCTGGGAGATGAGAGGCAGAGGAGATGGGAGGTGGTGGCTGTCATTCAGTGGCAGAGCACATACTCCCAGGTCACTAGCTGGCATCTCTAACCACAAGCATCTCAGGCAAGGCTATAAAGAGATGCTAGAAAACTGCCTGCCAAGTAACATAAAAAGCTTAGGAGAGCCTGCTGGATCAGGCCAATGGCTCATCTAGGCCAGCATCCTGTCCTCACAGCTGCAATACATTTTTCTTAATGCAAGAAAGGGACATCACAGCTAGATCAGGGCCTGTTTTAGCAAGGCGGCAAGTTTAACCTTGTTGGCATCCGTCTGCCTCAGGAGACGATGGAGGAGTGCGCCACCGCAGGTGAAGTCAAACTGTTGAAAGTTTGCAGCACCTGCTATGACAGTAGAGACTGTTATGAGAGAGCCATATTTTGTTGCTGTTGCAGCAGACCATGGCGTCTGGTTGTGCTCTGCAGATTCATTATGGTGTTTCTTCTCTCTGCACTTCTAAGAAGCCCTAATTAGGAGAGCTCATGAGGTAAAATGTGAACTGCCTCTTAACATTATTTTCACATACAACTTTCACAACAATTGGCTGGTCTAGACATACTCCTAGTATGTACTTTCTGTTTGGGGGAAATGTGTGCTTTTTAGGTTCTCGAATTCCTTTTTTTATTATTTTTAAGAGTTGGTACCTAAGAAGAAAACCCTTGAGCAATGATACATTTGTCTTTGGAAGAAGGATAATTTATCTCCATGCCAGCTGTTTAGCCTGGTTTCCCATGCTTGAAAATTTAGATTTATTGGATGCCACAAATAGAAATGGCATAGCCATTTAATCGTCTTGTGTTCCATGAAGGGGAGAGAGTGGTTAAGCAGAGAGAAAAGTCAAGGCAGCGCAGAAGCAAGACAACTGGAGAAGGTGGTGAGAAGAGGGCCTTTTCTGCACAGCCAAACTCAAGATGGATCAAGACCGTTGATAAAAGTGTGTCATTATTGTATCATATTTTATGATGGATTGTATATCACTCTTTTCTATTGTTTTGATGCATGACTTTGATATTCTGTACACCCGCTTTGAATATATTTTTTTCAATGCAAAGCTGTATATAAATGTTTTAAAATAAAGAAAATGCCAAGGATTGAACCTGGGACCTTTTTTCATTCAAAGGTTGTACTATCTTTTAATCAAGATGGCAGGATTATGTGTCAAAACAAATGTCAGCCAGTCTGGGTTCAGATTTTTTTAAAAAATAAAGGTGTCGATTTCTTACGCAATGTATTCTGGATGCAGCCAAGTACACTAGCACACTTACAAATAAATAACATTTAACAATGAACTTGTTTGGTTGAAGTAGAATGCATAGCATTTTGCTTGTCTTTAGACATCCTAAAACTTTAATTATGAAAGGCATTTATAATGGTTGCTCAGTGTTTGGCACTATGTATATACCATGCACAGCGGCTGGGGGAATGGGTGTCATTTGCTGCAAATGTCTTGGACCAGTCCTTTGGGAAGGGGAAATGGCTTTAAGCATGTGAACCCCTCCTCTGCCATCTGAAATGGAATAACCCAGCCACCATGTGATTTCCCCTGATTGCTTCTTTCAGTACTACCTGGAGAAAAATAGATGGCAGGTTTTCAGGCCAATAATAAAAAAAAATCAATGAAGGGATGTGAATTAAACACTAACTTTCCCAGTTCCTAATGGATGCTTCGGCTGGAGAGCACAGAGTCCTGGAAAGCCCCAGTTGTGCACAGATATGAAGACAGAAATGTTTTGTGGTTCTGGACAACTTTGAGAAGGGTACATAGCTGACTGATACCTACTTTGCTGTAGAGTGACCACAGCACTGGGGGGGGGGGGGGAACCTTCACAGGAAAAAAAGAGGAAAAAGAAGAGTGCAGATCAGCATGAAGATCACAGGTGCTAATTTGTATGTATATATGCAAATGTAGAAATTACTACTATAATTTTAATAGAAGCTACAGGGACCCTGTTCTCTTTTTTGATGGGGCTTTATTCAGCCAGACTTGGACCCGGCGGCCCATCCAATAGAGGACTGTCCTCTGCAAAATAGGTCACAGGGCCACCCTACTTGACTGCCTTTCAGTAGTGTCAATAAAAAGGCGAGAACTTAGAGCCTGTCAAAAGATCTTACGGAATACAAAAACATTGCTCCAGAAAGCGGTAGACAAGAATGATTTGCAGTTCAGCTCCTCTAGTTTGTGATAGAAGCTGTAAAATAAACAATCTGGTGCAGCTTTGACGTTTTGTGGCTAGATCATGTGAGGGCTTCAAGAAATAATAAACAAGCTATTTGAAAGAAAGGAGTAGGCTGACGTTAAGGGGGGGACACCTCATTCCATGAATTTTGTTTGATTTAACAACACCCCATTCCAGCTGCTGCTGCTGCTGCTGCTGCTTCTTCTTCTTCTTCTTCTTCTTCTTCTTCTTCTTCTTCTTCTTATTATTATTATTATTATTTTATTAACAACAACAACAACTTGAATAAAATATGGGAGGCAGGTAAGCCCTGCCGTCCATAATTGATCACAAGATCCCTGCCCACCATTTGAATGGCAATGCTCATCAACTTTGGGAGGGGCTGCCCCCCTCAAATATTTTATTGGGGGCAAAGGGACCCTGGCCCCTAGGAGATGGCTCCTATGAATATTATTATTAATTGGAGAGAGCAGAGCATAAAACTCATGAGATATTGCAGTTGGAAAGCAGGGAAGTTTGTTAGAGAACTGAAAGCGAGAGAAGCAGGAATCACTACCATTTTTGCTGGACCTCCTTCATACCTAAGAGCAGTCTGGCACGTTCAGCAAAAATTAAGTAGTTGCAATTTCCCTCCATCTTTATATCTCCCAGCCACGAAAGACTACCGGGTGGAACTGTAGCTCATTGCTGGAACCTATGCTTTGGATGCAAAGGCCTCAGGTGCAATCCTTTGCATCTCCAGGTAGGACTAGGAGAAAACTTTGGCCTGAAACCCTGGAGAGCTGCTTCCAGTCATCATGGACCAGGGATAGCCAACATGGTACATTCTGGATGTTGTCAGATTCCAGCTCCCAGCATCCAGGTCAGTATGGACAATGGTCAAGGATGATGGGAGTTGTAGTTCAGCAACATCAGGAGGCAGTGGTATAGTGAGGGGGGGCTCACAGGGGTGGTTGCCCCGGGCACAAAGTTTGTTAGGGGAACAAAATTTCAACACCCAGTGCTGCCTCAATACAGCCACATGCTTCCATTGCTGAGCTCCATTGAAAACGACTTCTCTACGCGAACTAGGAAGTGACCTCTCCAAACAACGGAACAACTCTTATTTTCTTATCTCTGTGACTGAGATCTCCTGGGTGATGTGGATGCCTTAGGCAATTGAATTTGCATGCGTACTCCATCCATTTCCCTCCCACTCATGCCCCCCCTCTGCACAGCCCCGGGCTCGGGCAACCCATGCTACACCACTGTCTGGAGGGTACCATATCGGCTACTCCTGGTGCATATAATACTGAGCTATAGGGGCCAAGAGTTTGTCTCAGTGTAAGGAGGTTTCCTATCTGAGAAGGACCATAGCTCAGTGGTAGAGCATCTGCTTTGTGTGCAAACTGTTCTAGGTTCAATCCCTGGCATCTCCAGGTAAGGCTCAGAATGCCACCCTATGGAACACCGGTGAGGTGTTTCCTCCTTTTTGGTAATGTGACCCATCTACTGAGTAGTCTTCAAAGGTGGCCCCATATGAACTCAATTGAAATAATCAAAAAGAGCTTGGAAAATCCATAAGCCCTAAGCAGCTTGGACCCTACCAATAAGATCAACAGAGAGGGTGCTCCTGAACATACCACCTGCAAGCAAAATTTGAAATCTGAATATCAATATGAAAATCACCATAGGGATAAATATAGCTCATAACCCAGCTGGGAAGCAAAATAACCTGGGAGGAGGGATACCTTCTTAGAATTAAGCACCAGCAAAGACCTGGGAACAGAAATGTATCTTTAATATAGTCAGAGTATCATAATGTCAGTGCTCACCTACTCAAAGATGGAGATGGTTCCACAATAAGGGTGCCATCACAGAGAAGGCCCTTCCTCTGGTTGCCGCCAACCAAGCTTCTAAAGGTTGCAGTGCAAGCAAGAGGGTCTCATTGGCAGCTCATAATAATTGCACAGGGCAGTGGTGGAAAGGACATCCTTTTAGATCTCCGGGTCTGAAGTTGCTAGGACTCTGTAAGTAAAAAATCAGAACCTTAACACACCCACCCAGCACATTACAGAGGTCCAGTCTCAAGCTTACCAATGCATGGGTCACAGTGGCAAGGCAGTCCCTTGCTGTGACATATGTGAAATGCTTTGTTATTTAAATTTATTGGATGAATTCTGAGCAACTTCTTCTTCTTCTTCTTCTTCTTCTTCTTCTTCTTCTTCTTCTTCTTCTTCTTCTTCTTCTTCTAGCAAAAAAACCACCAAGGTATACTTAGTATTTATCTGTTGCTTTTCTGTCGCCGTTATTTTCAACAACACTTTTTACAGCTTGCAGAATACTGGTTGTTGTTTTTTAAAAGAAGGTGGAAGTGCTTTACGTTGCAAATGCTGACGCCATCCCATAATAAGCCACAGGCGGTGGGTAAGCCACATTCCTCACCGGCTGAAACTTTTCCACCCTTCTCCTGTTATCTCTGGGCCCATTGTTTTCATTCCTGGGATTTCGTAAATCAGCACTTTCTCTTCTTCCTAATGGCTTTCTTTTTTCAGGCTCTTCGCAAATAAATTTGTCACATTTGTGTGTTTAGATTATCCCACCACCCCTGTATGGAGAATCTTTTCAGTGATTCCCTGACAGTTTTATCTGTTCTCTCTTACACATTCAGAAAGCACTGGGAAGTGAAGTATAGAGGGGGGAAACCACACCTTTGTGGCTGGAGTGAATTAAGCAGAAGTGTTAATTTTTGTGTGCTGTTGTCTTTTTAATGCTTTATTCAGAGCAAAGCAAAAGCAAAAATTATTGTTGCATCTAACATTTATGCCATGACTTTCTGTCATTGATCCCTTCCACTTCTGATGTATGGGGCAGAGTGTCATTGCTTCTGTAGCCAAAACAGCACCACCTATATAGAAGAGGGAGTTATCAGCAAGCTGATTTAGTAATAATAATAATAATAATAGGAAGAAATTAACAAGGAGGGGGAAAGCCACAACACAAGCCAAAGAGGGTTGAGCTCAGTAGCCATGGAATTCTGCCTGTCTGTTGCGGGATGGGAACAGGAAGCTGGGTTAGAGAGGGGATGTATTGACTGAAACACTGCAAATGAGCAGACTATGCTGCAACATTTTGTTGCAAAGCCCCCTGGTAAAACTACATAGAAGACGTCTAACAATATTAGATAATCGGGGACTGCCAGTGAGATTCAAAGCACGTTCAGATCCAGGGGGTTTCTCTTCAGGTGATAAGATTTATAGTGTAGTGGTTAAGAGCGGTGGACTCGTAATCTGGTGAACCGGGTTTGCTTCCCCGCTCCTCCACATGCAGCTGCTGGGTGACCTTGGGCTAGTCACACTTCTCTGAAGTCTCTCAGCCTCGCTCACCTCACAGAGTGTTTATTGTGGGGGAGGAAGGGAAAGGAGATTGTTAGCCACTTTGAGGCTCCTTAAGGGGAGTGAAAGGCGGGATATCAAGTCCAAACTCCTCCTCCTCCTCCTCTTCTTTCACACATTCGAACAGATTCAAACCCCCATCCCTGTTGAAAAGGCTTTAGGGTAGCAGCATTGGGGTAGGCCACTCCCCTTGAAACTTTGGACAGCAACTGCCTGTTAGAAGCCGTCAGAACAGACACTGGAGTACATCTGCTATATATTTTAGAACATGTTTTTTTCTGTTTATCTGCCTGTCTTCTGTATAGGTTCAACTGCCTCTTAAGATATCATTGCCAAACTCAGTACTATGGTTCCCAAGGTGTGAGTGGGGTCTACCTTGGTGTTTGGATGCCATTTTGCCTCAAGATAGCAGACTGAAACATGACCTTAGAATGACTTCATCCATGTTTTTGTTTTGTTTTTAGCATAGGCTTGTTTGCCTCTTGAAATATCATTGCAAACTTGGCATGGGGGTACCTGAAGTGGTCTTCACTTACATTTTGACACCAGGTACCATTTTGTTTCAAGATGATGGAACAAAATGTGACTTTGGCATAATGTCACCCATTTTTTGGCATAGGTTTGGCCACCTCTCAGTACATCATTCCCAAATGTGTTCGCAGGAGGAGACTGGCTGTAGTTGTCAACATTTTGATGCTAGGTGCCATTTTGATTCAAGATGGTGGACCAAACCGTCCCTTTGGTCTGATTTCACTCAATTTCTTGGGTGTAACTCACAAATTACACTATCCATTTCAAAATCACACTTTTTTTGTTTCAAACAATTCCCGGGCAGCGCCAGACACTCTGCGCTAGTGGATGAATAAGTCTGCCACAGTGCAATACAGCTTCCTTCACAGGTTCACAAGCAACTGGAAGGTACACCTCAGCCAGGTGCAGACAGCTCCATGAGTGAGCCAGGCCAGAGGTTTACAGGTTGGTGCACCAAAGAGCCCCTCACCCTAGCCTCTGGATCCTGGGACACCTTCCAAGCTAACAAATTGCATGGGTAAGCTTCACCTACTAGATACACCTTTATAATATTGCCTCTTCTCTAATGAGCAGTGGAGACAGCTAATCTGGGTTCATTTACTGCCTGGCTCTGTTCTAAGGCAATAATCCCCTGGTGTTCTCTGTGGAGCATCCTGAGCTTTGGGGGTGGGAAGCCGGCGACTTCTTTCATTGATCTCCAATCTGACAAATGTCAGCAGCTGCAGATAATATCTGCTCTCCTCCTTCCAGTGTTGCGAGGGGCAACTGTCTTGAAGTCCTCTATTCTCATGCTCTTGGGAGATGGGGGGATGGGGATATAAGAAAATCTAGTGGGCCCAGTGGCTTTTCTGGCTGTCTCTGCTATTCTACTGTTTTGGTTTATAGACCAAAAGAGGAGACATGGTTTTCTCTTCCAGCCAGCCTAGGATGCTTACAAAGGTCCAGTGATAAAAGAGCAAAAGGCTCCCTAAAAAACCTTTCCATTCTGCCCCTTGCTTGGGATCCACCCAAAAGCATTCTTTTCTGCTTTCTTTTCTTAATATACTTTGTTCCTGAAGCATGTTGTTCTGATGCTAGGCAAATGGTTGTGGGGGAGGAAATGAGGAACTGGGGAAATGGTTTCATAACAGCAATCTCTGCAGAGCCCTTGAGAGGATGAAGATGCTTCTTAAGAACCATGTCCTGTCCCATAGGAACATTCACTTCATTCGGATACCCTACACCAGGCATTCCCAAACCCCAAACATCCAGCTGTTTTGGGACTACAACTCCCTTCATCCCTGACCACTGGTCCTGTTATCTAGGGATGGTGGGAGTTGTAGTTCCAAAACAGCTGGAGGGCCGAGTTTGGGGATGCCTACCCTACACACATTATGTTTATCCTGCAGGATGGCAAAATGTCCAGGAAAACTATGTGATTTTCCCTTCAAGGACCTGAGGCCTGATTCATGGAAGATATGCTGGTTTCTAATAATCCATTGTTAAGATTTCTCCCTCAGACCATGGAATGTTTATGAACATTCTGTGATGTCACAGCAAGAATGGCAGGATTCAAAGCAGAATTTTCAGCTAGTGGTGAAATTTGCTTTATTTGCTCAGAGGTGTGTGTGTGTGAGAGAGAGAGAGAGAGAGAGAAATTATACATTCTCGCAAGGAGCCAAAAATGCTGGAGTTCCTCTGATAAAATCCTACTCTGATCCACATGATCGAGAACATGTGTGGAGTCTGGGTTGTAAAGGAAATCGCCTACTGTATGAAGAAAGAGAAATTGTTTTTAATAGCTCCTCACCAGGGATTTATTCTCCAAATTCCAAAAGAGGGAGGGGGTGTCCAGTCCCCAAGCCTTCCCAGCTGCACTCCATCCCAAGGTCAACAGCACATGGCTTTAGATTTCTGAAAATGATAATAACGAAGGCTGCACCAGAATATAGAGGCAGAAAAACTCATTGACCAAGGCTGCTGAATGTTTCACACTATAAACAGGGATTTAAAGGGTTTTAGGCCATGCATACCTAAGAGATTGCCTACTTCCTTCTGTCACATTGACATTCCTATCATTGTCCAAAATGGCACTAGCCAAACCTTCTACAAGGATTCATACAAAGCTGGTCCAAGACATTTTGCTGCCTGAGGTGAAGGGCAAGACGCCACCTTCCACTTACAGAATCCAATTAAATGGGAAATTGAATTTTGCTTCAACGCTTGAGACAGGACAATTCCCCACCTCACTTGAGGGCAGCAAGCTAACATAGAAGGTGCAGAGCAGGACTTGTGGTTTATGTCCAATGCTAGCCCTACCCAGAGTACACCCATCGAAGTTAAGGGACATGACTACCTTCTGTCTGTTCATTTCAGCGAGTCTACCATGAGCAGAATTTAGTTGGATGCAACCCAGAGCCCTGTCTTCTCCAACAGATCAGAAGGAGTGATTGGAGAGGCAGCTGCTGCCCTCCATACAGCCCAGCTTCTGCAGCCTGAGGAAACCGTCTCACTCTGCCAATGCCAGGGCCGGC